GGTTTTTGTAGTACATAAAATATGATTCATGAATTTTCCGACGATGTAGACGTACTACGCACCCACGCTCGACAACGAAAATTTATTGAAAATGTGGCATCATGTAAGATGAAAATGTCCTGGAATTATTCTCTGCGATGAATATTAAATTATATATTCTGGAAATTAATTCGTCGCATGATACGACGAAAACAGTGGCTCATCGGTTACTCTCTCTCTCTCTCGCTCTCTCTCTCTATTTCACACACACACACACACTCTCATAGCGAGTGGCAATCGGCAATAGCTCGAAGATATGTGAAATGAAATGCATGGTGCTTGTTATATTAAGACCAGTCAAAAGTAGATTTTGTATACTGAAACATAAGCTCATAAGCATATTTACTGCACATTTGCCGAATGCTCTCTCAATGAGAGTGCAAGAGAGATAATGTTGTGCAAAATGAAAACCAATAGTGCAACCATTGGAATAGTGCAACTTTATCGATGCACACAAAGAAAAGTGGCTCTATAGCACATATTGCTTTCAGGCACCCGTACACATAGACAAAGACTGTATACGTATACGGTTGATGTAATAAACACATCATTTTTGAAATACTTTGGCAATTTATGAAATCAGGCCATGTGTCGTTAGTGTCAAGTGTTCATTTCTGTTTCAGTTTTGAACATATTATGTGAGAATTTGCACATTTAATTTTTAGTCGAATCGAAGGCGCATTGCGTGTAAATACTCTATCATATTCGCTCGTTCGATAACAATGGTCGATAAAATTTACAAAAAAAAAAATGCGTGTATGAGAAAAAAGAGCTTAACGAAACGGGCGATAAATCAAATTATTCCATTCAAATGTCCTTTTAAATCGAAGATTACACAGCGTAATTTTGGCATTTTGATTAAAAAGATTAGATTGCACAAGCTGTTTGAATTCGACCGCATCTATCATTTGATGAGCACCGTTTTTCATTCTGGTCGCATTTAGGCAATTATTTAAATCCGTTGCGAAGAAACAAAAACCGCCAAAACTGCCAATTCGTTTAGAATGCAAAAAGAACATCGAACATCGCATTTTGCAGCTTTGTATGTGTGTGTGCATTTTCTTTTGTGATTCTAACACGGGTGGCGTGTGCTTGGATGCGGGTGCGCGCGAATTAATGTAGTTTTGATTTGAATTTGAATGCGCATTTGAATAACATATTCCGCCTGATTTGAATTGTATTCGCGTACATGTGTTAGTCTTATATGTTAATCGGTGATGATCTCTTCGTGATTTTCAGTATGGGCGGTTCATGTCGTCTAGACAATGCTCGATTAGCAATGATGTCGTATTCAAATTAAGCTTTCGCTTCATCGCGTTTTTCTATATTAAGTTTTCGTCGAACGAATGGCAGATTTGTGTGTATGTTTTTTCGTTTCTTTTCGCATTGTTTATTCACAAAAAATATTTAGCAAAGGGAAAAACAAACTTGACCTCGGCAATGCGATTCAGCCAAATGTTTTTATGTAAAATTCAGTTTCATGTTTACCAAGACACGCACAATTAATGGTCTACACCATGCAAAAACAGCCGCAGCAATTGTCATTAAATTATCCCAAACGAAATCCGCAATTGTGTGAATAAACATTTTCTGTTTGGAACGAAAAAGGGAGAGACTCAAAGTTTTTTTTTTTTTGGTTTCACTGTTTATAATTTTCAATTTATTTTTGTAATGGTATGTTCGACACGGAAAGGGATTTGGTATGAAGAGGTGGCACTTTTTTCATGTCTTATCTTTTCGATCGGGAAAATTTATGCAAAAAGTTTGTGTTTTTGTGCTGAATACGAAAACAGTGAAAAATTCATTCCGACGATTTGAATTTCGTTTTTTTCTTCGCTCTCTAAATATTTAATTTCCAACATCGTTCATGCCAGCAGACAGACCCATGCACAGCAGAAAAAAAAATGAACATTTATTTTTCACTTCATTTCCGATTCTTTACTGTAGGTGAATCGGTAGTAAATCATTGCTGGAGCAAAAAAGAATTGAACGAGTGGAAGGTAGTCTACAATATTTGCAACGAATCAAAGAGCATCAACCGTTCGAATTTCCTTGAAAATGATTTTGAGTTAAGATGCAATATACATATTAAATGACGTGTTCTCATAGCATGAACAAATGCAAGATGAATTCATAACAAGAACTAAATGGAATATGTGCTGAAGCAGCAGAAATCAAGAAAAATTGATGCAGTAACAACGATGATAAAACCATTTTTTTCTTGTTAACAGTTTACAAATTTCAGTCGAATAAAGGAAGAATTTTCCTGACATTTTCTGTGATTCAAATTTTGCAAGAAAAAGCATCGGAAGAACCTGAAATGGCATAAAAAATGCTTACGTATAATAAATCAAATCCATTCAACCGTATTGTTTTGAAATTGTTGTATTGATTTTTTAACGAAAAATAAAGAATTTTCAAACTGAAAAGAATATTTGATTGACAATGAGCAGTGGCTTATAAACCATTTTCAGAGTCAATTCTGAGTGGAGGCGCGGACTGTAAATACCGACTTTAACCAAATGGATTCCAAATACGATTCGAGGTTTAAATCAATTCCAAGGCCACAGGGAAGCATAGAAAACTACAATTTCATGCAGAAATTAACCGAAAAAAGTTTTCACAGCCCTTTTATTGCTGGTAAAAATGATGTTGTAGCTCAGGTTTGATGAGTCAAAGATGTTGGGCGTTTTGATTCTTGTTATTCGCTTTGATTGAACTTATGTAACATTTCAAATGCGAAATATCAAAGATATTTTTAGAACCAAATGATAAGACTCTTTTTTCATCACGCAAAGGTTCATTTATATACTTGCCGTTTTATTTATACATCATTCCAATGAATCGAATTTCTGAAGAAAAAAAATGTTTAATTTTGCTCCATATTGAATGTTTGTGTGGAAAATGAAAAAAAAAAGGAAAATATTTGAAAATAAAATACTTGGTAATTTAGGTGACAATTTCGCTTTTTGCCTCACTCAGTCATAATTATGATTGACGTAACTGGATTTTGATCTGATTTTTTGTCATGTGCCACATTCACATCGGAAAAGTACTGAATATTTATTTTTGAACCATAATAATGGTATTTTTTAATTATATAAAATATTTGGGCACGTGTACAATGTATATTTTGAATTTATTAATCTCAAAAATGTGTTGGTTTTCACCGCAATCGTTACGATTTTATCGCAAATGGTTAAATTTAGCGCAACGAAAACAATGATGTTACGGAAATGCTAAAGAAATTGTTATGTAAAATTTATCCATCGATTGCGTCATAATAAATGATTATCAACATGCATTGTATTGAGCGTTGTGACATTGATAACATAAATTAATTGTATGGCAGCCAGCAGCCAGCCATTTGTGTGTTACACTATAGTCTGTTGGAAATGTGCGAATAAATGGAATGAGTATGGAAAGCGTATCATCGTAGTTGAGCCAGTAGCTGGCAGTGCTTTATTGGGGTAATCGCACATACAAAAGTTTGTTATTCGAAGCACGACCAATTGATTCTTCAAAATGTTGAACCGTTTGTGATAAGATTGGGCGCATGGAAGGAAAGGCAATCAATCACTGTGCCGAAATGGTGCTATACACCATAAAAACGTTATAGATTTTCTCCTATACACATTACATTGCACGCATACATTCATGTGTGTGTGTGTGGTTGCTCACTCGTGTGCCGTTCGTTCGTAGCCAACATCACGAAATTTTGCGCTTCATTTTGCCATTCACATGCAAATTTTCGTATTTATATTGGATACGTTTGTATTTTATTTTTTCCTCGTTGGCTCGATATTTTTACTCGATATACACGGTTTATGGGATCATGTCTGATTTTCATTCATTCTTTTAATATTTTATGCTTTTACAATTTTATTTATTGGCACATTTTTTACTGCTTTCGATGTTTGATAAGGCGCATAGCAAGCGCAACGATCCACAAAGACATCAGGTAGACTAAACGATACATTATCATTTTTTTTACACGGAAATGGTGTAACGGCGAAAAAGACGACGACTGTACATGTTTTTCGGTGCTCGGTTTTTTACTTTCGCTTCTCTCTTCTTGGTATACTTACATGAAAAGATAAAAATCATTTCCAGTCATCCCTTTTTTCACGTTTCCTTATGTTGCAAACCTTTTTCCCATTTCATCTGAAGTCATTTACATGTTACATGCTTTGCAAAAAGTAATTCAATTTGCGGCAAACAAGAACTATGGGATGTGAAATATAGATCGATTTTTTCGGTGTTCGAAATCAATAAATTTGAAAAATTCTTTATCGGTTCGAATATTTGTATGTGTTGAAGGTAAAAACGAGATTTTTGGATTGAACGCTTATAACTGACATTACACCCGCTATTTCTTCAGTACGCGTGTCCGTTCGGAATTGCATTTATTGTTGTTAGAAACAGTCCCTGACTTAATTAAAAAGTTCACGCAGCCACTAAATTAGATTAGATTTTTCAAGTAAATTCAAAAGACAAAGTCATCTACGATCCACTTGATAAAATGCGTAAGTAGCATGTGCTGATAGTACGTACGTGAATTTTTACACCTCTTCGACAAAGTTTAAGATCTTGTCAATCTACATCGAAAGTTTCTTCAAGTACTTTCAATTGAACATTTATTTATTCGATCTTAAAAGTCGAAAACAATAAAACATTTGATTAGACATTTCTTTCTTGCATAACAAAGTAATTCAAAAACTCTAAATTTAAGCATTCGTAATTTGACACTCCTCGATAAATATAAGTGATTGAAGAATACAAAAACACTTAAATCATAGAAGCACCTCGTATTTCATTATGTTTTTGAGTACGTTCTGCCAGCAATAAAATGAGAAATATGAAGATAAAATGTGAATATATTGATTACTTATCTGACGATGTTCCGTTTCAGAGTTTTCGTGATAAATCGTTTTGTCATTCAAGACAATCGAAGTTAGAAAGTGAAACGGACTGGTTCACTTTTAGTATACAGTCTAGTTTAAACAAACATTTCATCAAACACTGTCAGTTAAGACACAAAAATTACAAATTCAAAGTAATTTTTGGTGATCAAGAGACAAATTGAATTAAAAAATCTATATTTTTAGATTTCAATGTGATCTCTTGAAAAGAGTTTCAACCTATCAGAAGTATAAGCAGCTCATTTGTATTAAAAATGAAGTTTCTCACATTATCGCTCATTGTTCTTGGATTATTGGTTGACCTTGGTTTTAGTGCACCAAATCCTGCCGCAGCAAATGCTGACCAATTAGAAAATGTCAATTATCGTTTGAACACAGATGTCTTGCCAAGTAATTATGTGATTAATCTTACACCTTATTTTGATAATGTCGAAGGGAAAGAACCATTCACTTTCGACGGATACGTGAAGATAACACTGGAAGCGACTAAAACCGGTGTCAAAACGATCACTCTTCACCAGGATGCTCTGGACATTGAGACAGTAACTATAAATCCGAAATCAACATTTTCATTTCCATCGTCCAAAAAGGTGGAAATTGCTAATATAGACTATGAAGAAAAAACTAATAAACTAAGTCTTCACTTGTCTGAACCACTGTCTATATCACCGCAAGAATACGAACTTCATTTCAAGTATACTGGAAAATTAAGAACTGACATGCATGGATTCTATCGGAGTTCATACAAAGAAAATGGTGAAACAAAGTAAGACGCAGAGGATATAGTTTTTTTTTATTTTCAAATTAAACACCATTTCAATCCAATTAAACACCATTTCAAAATTATTTAAACTCAGATGGTTAGCTTCAACTCAGATGCAACCGGTTTATGCTCGTAAAGTGTTCCCATGTTTTGATGAACCTCGTTTCAAAGCAACATTTGACATTGTTATGAATCGACCAAGTCATTTTAAACCAACACTCAGTAACACGCCTCTAAAAAATTCTGCCTTTGCAAGGTAATTCAGTTAATTTTCTTGTACTTTTCACTGCCAGATAAGGATTCGAATGCGATTTTATCGATTTTTATTATTCTACAGTTCAAATATGACAACTGACACTTTTGAACAAACACCAAAGATGTCAACGTAAGTCGACTCTTATTTACGCCTGAATCCATTATAAAAGGTTTTTTTAAAATTTGTATCTTCTCTATAGTTATTTGGTTGCTTTTATTGTATCAGAATTTGAATGTCGTGAGAATGATAAACATACATTTGCCGTTTGCTCTCGTCCAAATGCATACAATCAAACCAAATATAGTTTTGATGTTGGACAAAAAATATTGGCCAAATTCGACGAAAGATTTGATTACAAATACAATACTCATATGAAGAAAATGGCAATGGTAGCCATCCCAGATTTCGATGGTATGTTTCGATCAACTTTCTGTATAAACACTAAACAGTCATTTATAAGAGTCATTCTTTTCAGCTGGAGCTATGGAAAATTGGGGTAACTTTACTTGATCAATTTTGCAGAGACTGTTTCTCGCAGCGATCAAAAATGTAATCCAACATTTTAACGAATTACTAATCATCTCGTTTAGGTTTGTTGACTTATCGTGAAGTGGCCCTTTTATACGACCCCAATGTATCGACCGCTTTCGCTCAACAAAGAGTGGCATCAGTCGTAGCACACGAGCAAACGCACATGTGGTTTGGAGACTTGGTAACTTGCGATTGGTGGGAAAATACCTGGTTGAATGAAGGTTTCGCTCGATTTTTTGAATATTTTGGCACAGAAATGGTACAATTCAGTGTTAAAACGTATACACACAAGATGTTTCGATGAATTCTCATCGGTTATTTTCTTCTATTGAAAGGTCGAAGCTAAATGGGGTTTGGAGCAACAATTCATTGTTAATCAAATTCATGTTGCTTTAGTCGGTGACTCACTGGAATCAACGAAAGCACTTTTCCATGAAGTAAACACACCCGATGAAATTGGCGACCGATTCGGATTGATATCATACTATAAAGGTGGTTCGGTAATTCGAATGTTTGAACATACTTTTGGGCATGATAAATTTACTGATGCACTCAGACATTATCTTAAAACAAAGTGAGTACCAACAGTTCGAAATTCATTTCAAAATGTTATCATCATTTTCTGTGCATCAAACAGTGCATTGAAAACATCTGTGCCCGACAAATTGTATGACGCTTTCCAAGACACAATGGGTGGTGACGAACATGTTCGCGGCTTCATGAACAGTTGGGTTGTCAACGCAGGCTATCCAGTTCTAAATGTGAAGGTCTCCACTGAAGAAAATCAAACAAAAATAACATTAACGCAAAAGCGATTTTTACGGAATAATCCAGAACACGGAGATAAGACACTTTGGTCTATTCCAATCACCTTTGCATCGAATAATCATAATACGCAGTTTAAAAATACAAAACCTACTGCTTATTTAGAAAATGAACAATTGATCATCGAGACCCAAGGTCCAATTGAATGGATTGTATTTAATGTACAACAAACGGGTGAGTTCAATCGAGTTCATTGGCTTGTTAAATAATAATAATCAAATCACTTGAAATCGATGTGACGGAAATCGGGATCAGTGCTCTTCAGAACTGTGTAATCTATTTCACATCAATCTGTTTAATCGTGTTAATCAAAAAGTTGTGATCATTATCTTGAAATCCATATCAGAGCACAATCTGATAAAAAGTAGTAAACAACGTGGAAATATTTATGGACTCCCATATATGTCTCAAATAGGTTTTTTTATATTATGTATGCTTTTCTTATGCAGGTTATTATCGCGTGAATTATGATGACGCCACATGGGCTGCATTGGACAAGGCATTGTATAATTCACATACAAAAATCCATGTACATAATAGAGCTCAGGTAAAATGAACCAAAAAACGAGTTAGAAAAGAACCTCGATCTTCCATATTATCTCTCATTCACAAACATTTACTATCTCATTGCAATGAATCGATTCTAATATCTACGTATTTCAGATCGTGGACGATGCATTGAATTTGGCTCGTGCCCGCCAATTGAACTATTCTCAAGCCTTGCATACGATTGAGTACCTTCAAAATGAAACCGATTACATTCCATGGTTATCGGCATTCAATAACTTTGAATTCATTTTGGCACGTTTTAAGACAGAAGAAGCTCCAATGCTCGAGGTATATTTTGCTTCAAAAAAGAAGAAGCTCCAATATATAAGTCAAACTTTCACTGCACTGATGGCCTTTGATTTCAGAATTTCCTTCTAGGTCTTTTGGGCAAAGTTTATTCTTATCTTGGATTCCATCCAAAGGACAGCGATACTCGTTTGGACATTTATAATCGAGAACTTATTTTGAAGTACGCATGTAAATTTGGTCATGAAAAGTGCATTGCCAACGCACGCGCTGAATTCGATAAGTTTTCGATGGGAGACTACAAGTGAGTACAGTTTTTTTTTTATGGAATGTCTGTTTGAAATCAAAATAAATGTCATCCAATAGGATCCCCGTCAACTTAGTGCCAGTAGTTTATTGTTCAGTAATTAGCGAAGGATCGTACAAAGAATGGGAATATTTATGGAGAAAATTCAAAACCGAAAATGTGGCGACTGAACAAGTGACAATTTTGCGTGCATTGGGCTGCACAAAACAAGCAAAAGTGTTAATGGTGAATAAATTTTTTTCAATGCGTTGCAATCAGTTGTAATATGTGTTTTTTTTAAACTCTTTTTATTTTCAGGAATATTTGGAGAAAATTCTATCTGATGATATTCGATTGCAAGATAAACATTCAGCATTCGTCTCCACTCTTATGCAGCAGGGAAATGTCAATTTGGTACTGGATTTCATTGTTACAAATCACCAACGTATCAACAAAGCGTGAGTGTCAAGTATTGAATTAAACAATTATTTTGTCAATTAATTGATATTTTGACACAGATTTGAATCTGAGAAAGAGGTCCCATCGATGTTATCACAAGTGGCCGCACGTTCAACTTCCAACGAACAAATTGATAAAATTGTACATTTTGTTGATGAACACAAGATAAACGACGCAGGCCTTAAATCAGCCCTACTCCTTGCAAAAACTAACTTGAAATGGGCTGAAGAACATATTCCAACTATTAAAAAATATTTGAAAAATCAAAAACCAAACAGCACAATGGCAAACATCATATAGTTTTAGTTTTATTCATCGGCTCTTCAAATTAGTTAACAAGAATATCTTCAATTATTTTGCAACTAGTATTTGAAGGGTCGTCTGTTATGTTTTGTCTTTGTTACTTGAATTTTTTTGAAATAAATCCTTTTGAGCGGTAGCACACATAATTTTTTTTTATTTTTCTAAGCTTTTTGTACTTTGTGATGACAATAATGTAAGATGTTCTGTTTTCCCAACTTCGAAATTTGAGAACATAAAATCTAAAAAGGAAATAACAAAAAATGAACTTCATAATATTATGATTTTGGATGTTTTTCAACTTATAATATTCTACTCTGATGAGAAACAGTCTCTGGTTAAATTTAATTAACTCTTTATGCCACTTAGGACTTATTAGATGAACCACGGCCAACTAATATAAAATGACATTGAACGTTACAAATAGAAAACAATTAGACCGTCCATTGTCGTTATGGCGCGGTGTGAGTTTTTCGTGTACACTCTTAAAAAGAATGACAGGAACACGTTTTTACCGTTAAACGTGAATAAGTTTGGTTTCGCTTGGCTTGCCATGACTTATAACTTTGTCGCACAATCGTGGGTGATGCCACAATTATCACAAGTTTCAAATGCGAATAATGTTCGATCAAATAGAACGGTGCAATCAATGGTATAATATATATTTGAATGACAAAGTGTTTGGTTCCTAAAACGTGTGTAGGTTGGTGGGCAACGTTAACGTTTCAGATACAATTCTCAATTGTTGTGCCAATCCACTCGCTTAAACCTTTCGACATCTCGTTCATTTATAAAGAGTCGAAATCGGATGGAAAAGAGCCGAAAAATCGAATAAAATGTTGCATTATTTATGTCGCAACGTATTCTTCTGACTGATGTTGACAATTTACTCTCACAGACACATTCAGTTAAACTCCATAATTCAAATGATTGTGACGCGTGCCAAATTCCATGCGAAAAAATTTAAATAAAATATTCTAGTTGTTTTGTATTTTGTGCTGTGTCGGCCGATTTTCTCTGACATTCTGCTTTCTTTTGTCCTATTCATCGCATCGTTTTGTGGCTGATGTCATCCAGTAGCAATTTGGATGGTATAATACACACACATTACAAAAAGAATATGGCTGTTGTATTGAAGACAAAAG